TATGCAATCACAATGTGCTGAAGAGCTACACTACTCAAGAACAAGGGACCTGGCAGCTACAGGACCACTTCAGTTCCCACGTGGGACATCACTTCTTGCAGGTGTTTCATACTTCTTTCTTCCCCCCAGAACAGTATCAGAGTGAGCAGAGAACCTGAAATCTCTCGGCCTTTGCAGAACCAGCTGACACATCCCTTTCCCCATGAGCTTTCCTCCACCATTCATGCTACCACTGAAGTTTAATTACCCCTAAAAAAAAAAAATAAAAAAAAATCTGCAACATGGAGGAAGAAGGGAGCTGCTGAGATCTTCTTTTCTACATGTTAGGAAACGTGCTTTTTAGCCCTCAGTAATTACCATAATACAGAAAACTGAGGCATCAGACTTGTGACATACATTCTCCAGGTGAGGCAGCATTCCTTCACACCAGCAGTGCCAAATCCTTCTCACGGAAAAACAGAGAATGTGCTAAAGAGTATGCACTTACCATCACATGTATTATCAGGAATAGACTCAAGAATGGGTTAATTTATACATCTGAGCTGGAAGCAGACCTACATGTGCCTCAATTGGCACACCTTGCATCAGAACAAGAGGATACACTGGCTAAGACAGCTAGGGAGAATAGCTTTGGGAGCAGTCACATGTCAGTCAACAACGAGTGAGGATTGCCTAAACTACTCCTAAGCTTCAGTCCCTACTGTCGTATGAGAAGACTGCCTAATCAAGGTGTCTTAGATACTAGACAAAAATAGGGAATTAAACTGCTGCAATGTATTATCAGTCAGCAAGAAGGTAATGCAATGCTAAGGCCAGATGGATAGCTAACTAGTAAACTGTGCCACTCACAGATGAAACCAGCACAGTTTTTATCCATCTTCTTTAATGGTACTTTTGAAATGTGCTAGGTTTATGGGTTGATTCATCTGCCAGCTTAGTTTACATAGAAGAATCTGTTGGATCATGAACCACAAGAACAGGAAAAAGGGGAGAGCAGGAGAAAGCTCTGACATATAATCCAGTTGTAAAATATCTATCTGTATTTTCCAAAGGCATATATTTCAAGACACCAAGCCTTCTAAGAGGATAGATATGCTGCTGCTATAACTTTTCTGGAACAAAATTTGCACAGAATTCACAAAGTTTAAAGACTAAATGAAAGCTACAGCCATACAAGAGTCTTATGTCTTGCAGAATTTTACCTCATCGGCACAAAAAATTGAAGTACTCAGCAAGCACACCCATGTCCAAGGAGGAAACAAGGAAGAGCAGCAGCAATGAAAAGAATGCAAGCATTTCAAAGCTAAATTCTTCTTTAGCCCAAATCTAGCACTGGTGTGACAGGTGTAAAGATCAAGCAGAAAAGAAACTGAAATTGTTTGGAATTTACAGCAGTCTTCAACTGGTAGCCTACAGCTATATGCACCTACCACTGGGGACTGAATGACCAGTTAACAGCCAGCAGTCTGACTCTTCCCTCCACTCCCTGGCAAAGCCTTGTCACAAAATGAAAGAAACAAACTACATAAGAAGCATAAACCAGAAGATAAGGAGACCAGCACCATGAGAAGCTCAGGTCCCTCCCCAGTGGCACCAGCATGGAGCCGTCCCTTTGGCTGTACCCCTGAATTATGAAATGATTCCTTACTGGAATCGAACAACTGAGACTCTGCTGCAGAAACCTTAGGGTGAACCTGAAGAATGGGAAGGGTTCAGGTGCAGTGAGCAAGGAGTTGGAAGTTCAAACTCTGGACCTGATGTAAAAAACACATGGTGATGTTTTCTCACCTGTGTTATGCTGGAGGTCAGATTAGAATAAATGAAATAATTCCCTATGGTCTTAGATACCTGGATATCTTTCCCAGCGACTGTTACAACAGAAAAAAGCCCACATTCCATTCAACGAAAATCCAAGCAAGACAGAACTACTCCCAGTTTAAGGCTGCAATAAGGAGGAGAGAACACTTAAGGCAACTGAGTTTGTCTTGTTTGGGAATCAGGGTCTTCAGGGAGCACAGCAGTAGAGCACTGCTCTCTTTGGAAGCTTTTCTGATGCAGCCCAAACACATACGGTGGAAGCTGACAACTGCAGTCCACCAAAAACTGCAACTGCCCAATGGATCTACTGCTTCCCACAGTATTTCTTCAACCTGTTTACCAAAAAGAACAGAGATAAAAAAACAAGGGTGGGGAAGGGAGGAGAAAAGGTACTTTTGAGGCTATGAAGTATTGAAGTTACCCATATGAGCCTGGGAAAAAGATCCCTTGAAATGTGTTTAAATAGTGAGACTACTAGGTGCTTGGAAAAGCTAGTATTTACTGATGAAAGAGTTTACCCTAAACCTAAATAAAACTCCAGCACACTACAAAAATTCATGCTGGGGACTAATATGGATAGTTTCACCAATGTGGCCTGAGCAGGGATACAGAGTGAATTCTCCACTCTGCTTCTGAATTCCAAACTCACTGAGGGCTGAGACAGGTCAAGATATATCTGTGGCTACAAACAGAACTTGTTTCCAGAGCTGCTGGCCTCTTAGATGTATTAAATCCATGTAAAAAGGGATAAAGGAAATTGAGAATAACAGAAGTAAGAGCAAAGAAATTATCATGTTTAAAACCCTATCAGGTTTTGAGGCCATTTACAAAGACAGTCCATAAAGCTCTGCTACACAAAGAAGTGGTCCTAATATTCACCACCTGCTTTTGAAACCTACACACAGTTTCTTGACAACTCTCCTGTTCCCACACCAGCTCCCCGTTCTCCTGCCAGCCAGCACAGTTTTAGTAGGAGAGTGGCTAGAAAAAGAGTGTATAGACCAGAATGACTAGGAAAAGCAGAGAGGAAACAGCATCAGACCACAGGAAGTACAGAGACCTGTAAGTGGCTCTAATGAAACCAGAGTGGTACTAAAGACGTGCCTTGTTGAGATGCTGTAGCATTGTTATTCATTTTAGCAGCAAGAGAAACAGCAGCTGAATGCATCACCCTGAAGCACTGCAATTCACTCAAGGACATTGCTTGTTGCAGCCTTTCAGGTTTCTGCCCAGTGCAGGCTTGACCTATTTCCCTTGCCTTTCATGCCAGTAATCATCCAGTGTAAACACTGAGAAGGTTAAATATAACATTCATGACAACTTATAACTCAAGTGCATTTGATGGTTCAGGTTTTTGTTTAAACCACAGAGGAACACCACCACAAAAAAACAAAAAACTGAAAAAAGAAAAAAGAAAAAAAATAAAAGCACCCACCAAGCCTGGATACCCCTGTCCTGCCTATCCTGAAATGAGTGATTTTCTTTTAAGTAGCTCCTCAATCAAAGCTGCACTTGATCACAGTTCTTGAAATCCCTTTTTAGATAGTACTCATGAGATATATCAAATGAAAGAGGACAAGTTTATTAGGATTAAACTGAGAAAAGTATGTTCAAGTTTCTGTGGACAGATCCTATCAAGCTGATTCTGGATCTCTTCACCAAACTCATTTGCTAATGGAAAGGTTATCCCAAACCCCATTCACTGGACATACACTTTTACCAGAACAATTCTCTGCAGACCATATGCTACAAAGATCCAAAGCAATAATTAAGCTCTTTAAGTTACAGCCACTCAATGCTTTAAAACTGGTGTCCTATTATTAGTAAGGATATACCTAAGCCTGTTTAGTTTTCACAGCTGAGTATATCATCTTTCAAGATCTGTTTCAACTTCTTGGAAGAACAAACAATCATCATTTTCACCATCATTAATTTCTCTGAGTGAAAATAAAAGTTAATTTATTAATATTAATAAAGCTTTAATACTAAACCTATGGAGGGTAGATTTAGATTACGTATTAGGAGGCCTTCTTTCTACCCATTGGTGTAGAAAAGTGATAGGAACTGGCAAACAAACCACAAGTCTGTCTGCAGAGACACCTGTCAAGGCCAAGAACAAGAAGGCCAGAAAATACCGACAGACAGTCTCTTGATGTGCCGTCTACCAACTTACCACAGACTGCAGTTGCATATAAACTGCAAAATATTGGGCTGAACTAATTTATGAGCATTATTCTTGACTGCTACTCATCTGGGCTGAGTACTCTATCTGACATCTCACATTTCCTACAGCAAGCTCCCATCTTTCTGAGTTGCAACAAGTGACTCAGGACTCATTACCTAAATGTCAAAAAATACACAGGTACACTGACATCTCTAAGGTACAGCATTCTGGGGGTTGTTTTATTACATGCAGCCACAGCTAAAGCTTCAGGGTGTTTACACTGCAAAAAGCAATCTTCTGCAAAGTTCTCTTCATGCAGAGGAACTTATTCCAGCAAAGATACTTCCCCCTATCCACCCTACTCTTCAGAAAAACTAACAATAGTATTATAAAAGGAAAACTGTGCAGCTCGTCTGGGCTGTCTGGTTAAACTATAGCAAAGCTTGTTAGTTATATATAGTCTTAGAAACAGTACTTTGGAGAACAATTCACTACCCAGTTTCTCAGATTTGGATGGGAAATCAAGAGAGGGTGGGAGGCCAGAGTTCACTGCATTCCTGACTCTCCACTGCCTTGTACAGCACACAACTGTACATACTTTTAAGGGAAGATACCACTCCAGTTATGCTTTGCTTTCCATCCATTCTATATCGGATATAAGTGCCTAAGCGCCTAGGCAAAGTGCAAAGCAATGTAAACTAGCTTTCAACAATGTAAATTAGCTTTCAACCAGCTAATAACACAATATGACCACCCTTAGTGATTAACCTGAGAGGCTTACCAGGGACAAATGGAATGATAACATTTTAGGCTAATATACCCCATCATTAACCTCACAATAAGCCACAGTTAAAGCTTCATACATTTGACACTATTCCTGCAAGACACCTTCCTCCTTCCCATCTGCTGTTTAAAGGCTTGAATTTCACAGTCACTAAAAGAGAGGGTGGGAAGCGAACACGCTTAGTACAAAGCATGAAAGGCAGTTTATGCTTTAGGACTTCTTTATTGCACTTACCTACATTTGTAGGAAAGAGATCCTCATTGTTGATTTGCACCTCGATCCAGTCCATAAGAAGATTCATATACTGGGGTGCTGGCAATGCTGTGGGCTTCTTGTATTTCATGTCGTCCTGCCACCGATACTCATACTTAGAGCCTCCAGCCATTACCGGGCAGGTCTTCTCTGTGCAGAACTCACAGATAGTTCCATAAATGAGGTTGATCCTATTGAAGAAGTCAACAACATGAACAGCAACCCAGTCATTTTGGTCTTCTCCACTAGGCAACTGCACAGCCGCTTTCAAGTCCACTCCTGAGTTCAGAGATGCCTGTGCTCGTTTGTGAAGTTCAAACCTCTGGGTTCCAGGTTCAAACTTGCGTTTTGGGCGGAAAGTCTTGTCTTTATTAAAGACTTGCTTGAGTGCCGTGGACATGTCTGCTAATCTGCTCTGCAGCAGCTGGCAGAAAAGCAAGGCTGAGATTTAATGCAGGTACCTGAAAACAGTTGCTCTCTAATACAGGTCCTCCAAACCCTGCTGTTTCTCTCACAGGAGCTTGTATCGACTCCAGAGCAGTCTGCTAGCTCTTCCTCTGGAAAGCCTGCCTGAAAGGCTTCATGTCCCTGAGAATGTGGAAACAGTAAACATTAGTGATAAGCTCAAGTCTGGGCCTGTTGGTTTGTTACTGTTTTACTCCTCTTTTTTAAGTATCTACCCAAATAGAAGCTTCTTAAGTTACCATAAAGATGAGAATTCAATAAGTCTTGCATAATCTTTCCACCTTTAGGTAATTTTTAAACCATTTTCATTCTGCTCCCTTTTTACAGTGAGTGTATACTACACGTAACGTATGTATGAGTTTAGCAGACAAAATACTACGTTACAATGTAGAAGTCTTACCTAACTACTCCTGAAGTGCCCAATAGTGCCCCTAACCATTCACTCTGGCTTCAGCACCCTTCTCTAGGAAAAAATCCCTGAGCAAGATTTTTCCATATTTGTTCTCTACTTTTAATTAACAAGCTATTTGTTTCTGCAAACCTCGTAGAACCCACTTACAGTGAAACCTACGGTATTGCACAGATAACTTCTGTCTTCCCATAGAACTGTAAAGAGCTTGTTACTTCTCTTGATGCACCTTCAGGAATTCACTAGTGGTCTTACTTTTCTATTAGATTGGGTAGACTGACTGAAAAGCAAAAGTGACGCTGCTGCTTTATAGCTCTATTAATCTCCTCTACAGGGGAATACTTGGCATTGTCATTCACAGTATCACAGTATCACAGTATGCTAGAGATTGGAAGGGACCTCAAAAGATCATCTAGTCCAATCCCCCTGCCGGAGCAGGAACACCTAGATAAGTTTACACAGGAACGTGTCCAGGCGGGTTTTGAATGTCTCCAGAGAAGGAGATTCCACAACCTCCCTGGGCAGCCTGTTCCAGTGTTCCATCACCCTCACTGAGAAGAAGTTTCTTCTCAAGTTTAAGTGGAACCTCTTATGTTCCAGTTTGTACCCATTGCCCCTTGTCCAATCATTGTTTGCCACTGAGAAGAGCCTGGCTCCAGCCTCGCGATGCTCCCCCTTTATATATGTATATGCACTAATAAGGTCACCCCTCAATCTCCTCCAAACTATAGAGACCCAGCTCCCTCAATCTCTCCTCATAAGGGAGATGCTCCACTCCCTTAATCATCTTAGTTGCCCTGCGCTGGACTCTCTCCAGCAGGTCCCTGTCCTTCTTAAACTGAGGGGCCCAGAACTGGACACAATATTCCAGATGAGGTCTCACCAGGGCAGAGTAGAGGGGAAGAAGTACCTCTCTCGACCTACTAACCACCCCCCTTCTAATACAACCCAGGATGCCATTGGCCTTCTTGGCCACAAGGGCACAGTGTCGGCTCATGGTCATCCTGTCGTCCACTAGGACCCCCAGGTCCCTCTCCCCTACACTGCTCTCTAACAGGTCGTTCCCCAGCCTATACTGGAACCTGGGGTTGTTCCTGCCCAGATGCAGGACTCTACACTTTCCCTTGTTATATTTCATCAAGTTATTCCCTGCCCAACTCTCCAGCCTGTCCAGGTCTCGCTGGATGGCAGCACAGCCTTCTGGCGTGTCAGCCACTCCTCCCAGCTTAGTGTCATCAGCAAACTTGCTGATAGTACACTCAATTCCCTCATCTAAATCACTGATGAATATATTAAATAATACTGGTCCCAGTACCGACCCTTGAGGCACTCCACTAGATACAGGCCTCCAACTAGACTCCGCCCCATAGACTACAACTCTCTGGCTTCTCTCCTTCAGCCAGTTCACAGTCCACCTCACTACCTGATCATCCAGATCCCACTTCCTCAATTTAGCTGTGAGGATGCTGTGGGAGACTGTGTCAAACGCTTTGCTGAAGTCAAGGTAGACCACATCCACCGCTCTGCCATCATCCATCCACCGTGTTATTTCCTCGTAAAAGGCTACGAGATTGGTCAAGCATGACTTCCCCTTGGTGAAGTCAAGTTGACTGCCCCTCATAATCCTCTTATCCTTGATATGCCTTAAGATGGCACCAAGGATAAGGTGTTCCATCACTTTCCCAGGGATGGAGGTGAGGCTGACTGGTCTATAGTTACCTGGGATCTCCTTCTTGCCCTTTTTGAAGATGGGAATGACATTTGCTTTCCTCCAGTCCCCAGGCACCTCTCCTGTTTCCCAAGACTTGGTAAAGATGATGGAGAGTGGTCTAGCAATGACTTCCGCTAGTTCCCTCAGCACCCGTGGGTGCATCCCATCTGGACCCATGGATTAATGGATGTCCAGATTGCTCAACTGGTCTTCTTACAAAAGAAAAGAGCCTAGATTTTGCATTATTCCATCTAATCTACTCTGGCAACAAAGAATAGTTTTAACAGCCAAAAAAAAAAAAAAAAAAAAATTACTGCATTAAAACCTTGCTTGTTCTTACAAGCATGTGCAGAAGAGTATTATCATCAGTAAACGCAGACGATTAGAAGGCAATCGGGTAGACAGGGGCTATCTCAATTAGACTTCTATTTCAGTACTGAAGATTTTATGATTAAAGATAGAGAATAAACATTTAATGCATAATTTAAATTAAATAACACAGTATATTTTAAATTTGCACAGCACTACAAAAATCCTACCCTATCAGTGGCGGATGAATTCTCATCATGGGACCATGTATGCTTCACTGTTTCCCCTTACAGAAATCAAGCCCATGAAAATTTTACCAGGCTGTGTGTGGAAAGCACTAAATTTTCCGGAAGACAGTTGCCCAAAGCTTTGCTGAGGGCCAGAGAGGAAGAGAAAGAGGTGCTTCATTTTTCTTAAGCACCACAAGAAAGCAAGACATACCCAAGTAAAAAGAAATTTGGTGTGCTAGACCCCATCCCCACACAAAAGAACATAAGTGCCAATAAAAAAGTGCTTTCCCAAATAGCTGAAAGGTTAGCATACAGATGATTTTACAGCAAGCAGCAACTGAACAAAACGAGCAGAAAAGTGCTTATTTTCCCTTTTGCTGATGGCATGATGGAGGGATACTCCAATCATGAGTTTATGAACAGTCGTTCTTTCTGTGCCAGCAAAATATGGTAAATTCTGGGATGAACTACCAGGAGGCTACTGTCCTACTTGACATGTTCCATGGACTTGCACAAAGTGTTCCATGCTGTCCTGCATGACATTCCTGTCTCTAAATTGGAGAGACATCAGTTTGATAGATGGACCACTCAGTGGATAAAGAACTGGCTGGATGGCCGCATGAAAAGAGCTGTGGTCAATAGCTCAGTGTTCAGCTGGAGACCAGTAACGAGTGGTGTCCCTCAGGGATCGGTGTTGGGACCGGTCTTGTTTAACATCTTCGTCGCTGACATGGACAGTAGGATTGAGTGCGCCCTCAGCAAGTTTGCCAGTGACACCAAGCTGTGTGGTTCAGTTGATACGCTGGAGGGAAGGAATGCCATCCAGAGGGACCTTGACATGCTTGTAAGGTGGGCTGATGCCAACCTTATGAAGTTTAACCATGACAAGTGCAAGGTCCTACAGATCGGTAACGGCAATCCCAGGCACAGCTACAGGCTGGGTGGAGAAGAGATTCAGGAGCAGCCCTGCAGAGAACGACTTGGGAATGTTGGTCAACGAGAAACTGAAAATGAGCTGTCAGTGTGAGCTCGCAGCCCAGAAACCAGTTGTATCCTGGGCTGTATCAAAAGGAGCATGACCAGCAGGTTGAAGGAGGTGATCCTGCCTCTTTACTGTGCTCTTGTGAGATCCCTCTGAGAGCACTGTGTGCAGTTCTGGTGTACTCAACATAAAAAGGACTTGGAACTGTGGGAACAAGTCTGGAGGAGGGCCAGAGGATGATCAGGGGACTGGAGCACCTCCCATATGAAGATCAGCTGAGAAAGTTAGGGCTGTTCAGCCTGGAGAAGGCTCCGTGGAGACCTCATAGCAGCCTTCCAGTATCTGAAGGGGGCCGACAAGGATGCTGGGAAGGGACTCTTCATTAGGGACTGTAGTGATAGGACAAGGGGTAATGGGTTAAAACTTAAACAGGGGAAGTTTAGACTGGATTTAAGGAGGAAATTCTTTGCTGTGAGGGTGGTGAGGCACTGGAATGGGTTGCCCAGGGAAGGTGTGAATGCTCCATCCCTGGCAGTGTTCAAGGCCAGGTTGTATGGAGCCTTGGGTAACATGGTTTAGTGTGAGGTGTCCCTGCCCATGGCAGGGGGCTGGAACTTGATGATCTTAAGGTCCATCCCAACCCTAACTATTCTATGATTCTATGTTCTAACACAGAGGTCCTGAAACCTGCCAAGAGTCAGGGAAGGAAGACACTAAACCAAACTATCCTTGGAACAATGAAGTTAAGTGTCACTGACAGGAAATGAAGGCACTTTAAAGACAAACTTTGTGCTACAGTTTGCTGTTTGTTACTAAGACCCATAACCTCCAGCTTTCAAATGCTCTGTGAGAGCATTTGAGGCACTCAGCTGTTTATTTAAAAGCTTTTCAAAGAATAATACTGCTGCAAAGACAGAGCTTGTGACTGACACACTTTTGAGATGGCACGGAGCCAATGGCCCAGTTTGCAGTAATAAGGATGTTAGCTTCAGGGTTTTACAGCTCAGGTAACTAGTTTTCCTCCCACTTTAATATACCTGTCACTCTGATGTGGCTACTTTGACTCTCTTCCTCACCTGTAAATATTCACCAGAACATGCAAGGAGATTTTATTTTAAACAACAAACTGAGCACCAATTAGAACTCATCTTCAAAAGACATATTTTGAAGCACAGTACTCACTGCTGTAAACCTTTCCCCCCACAAAAAGAAAAAAAGAAGAAGACACCGTACTCTTTACCACTCCTCTTCCTACATTAAGTCCGCATAACACCATTAACGTAGAGAAAAAGCAACCAAAACGTTCAGCAAATAACTCATCTCAAGTCAAAGGAATCACATGTTGAAATTGTCTGTGGAAGCACACATACAACATAGCAAATTCAACCCACAGACTAATCCAAAAGGTTACTATACAGCCAAATGAAACTCTTCTTTAACTCACCAAGGCAGAATCAGAACAAGAATTTCCTATATATTTCC